AAAAATCTTTAAAAAAAAAAGAGGATCTTTCATTGCAGCCAAAAATTGAAGGCTATAACTTTGGGGCCCACACTTGAGATAAGATGGAGAACCAGATCTTGAGGGAGACACCCACTGGATTAAAAAGCATCCCCAAATCAAATTCATTCTGGGTTTGCCACAGAAATCAGCAGAATTTTTCTGAAAAAAGGCCAAAGACTAAATATTTCAGGTTTGTGTTCCAGAAAGCAAAATCGAAGATATTATATAGGTATTCATATAGCAAAAGACAACACACATTTCCACAACTGTTTTATTGATGAAATTCAATATATGATAATAATGAGTACAATTTTTAAAAACACAGGCCTATAAATGAGAAAAACAGAATTCTTTTGAGGGGGATAACATGCCACTTAATTGGGATTCAAAGTCTGTGTTACCTGTCATCAAATTGGTTGTGATTACTCCCTTTGTAAAAACCATCCTTAGCTTGTGGACCATACAAAAACAGGTGGCAGGCCAGATTTGATGGATGGCCCATCACCTGCCAGGCCCTACAATTGAGTCAATGTTAATCTCAACATCTGCTCCAGCTTTGGAATGGCTCATATTTTCATATAATCATCATTAGCATCAAACATCCAATAAACACAAGAAAAGTAGCTCATTCTCATTATTAATCAAACAGTGTAAAAAAAAATCAAATGAGTTACTTTTTTTCCAATCAGACAAGTGAAAAATTTCAAGTTAACTTCACACTTCTCCATAGCAACATTCAAAAGCCAGATCATTTCCTCAGGAAAGAGAGAGAGAAAGAGAGAGGGGGAGAGGGGGAGAGAGAGGCTTAAGAATTTTATATAGAGCCAAGTTTCACGTAAGTATGAAGATAACATTTTCAAACACGCAAAATTCAGGAAAGACATACCCATTGTCCCTTTTTGTAAAAAATACATGATAACAAATCCGACCAACACAGCGATAAAGGCAAAACACATGGTAATAAAGAAAATAATAATAAGAACATTAAACTCATTTAAATATAAAATTAAGTAAAAGCAACTATGGATTGAAGAGAAAATAAAAATGGAAATTACTCACTAGTTAGAACCATTCAACAAATAAAATATCACATATTCAAACTTGGATGCAGCTATAGCAGTTCTTAGAACTCATAAATATTTAGTTAAATCATTTAGTATTTTGAACACTGAAAAAAATAAGTATTCAAAAAAGAAGCTAGAAAATGAATAAGTTCAAGGGAGGAGAAATTAATATAACAGAAAACAAACAATAATCAAGATCAGTAAAACTAAAAGCTGATGAAGGGGACAAACTAAACAAACAAAAAACAGTCTCAAAAGGCTGTTGCTTATCTCAAAAAAGTAGAAGACACTAAGCCAAAAGCGTTTTACAGGTGAGCTTCATCAAACATGTCAAGAAGAGAAAATCCTTATAAGATACAAACTCTTCCAGAAATAAAGAAGGAACGCTACTGAACTCATTTCTTGACACTAAAATAGCAATGATTCCCAAATGCACCCAAAAAATGTATAGACAGTATGAACATAAATGCAAATATCCTAAATAAAATATTAGCAAATAAAAACCAACCATGTGTGTCAATGCATATATGTGACATACTGTATTTTGCCGTGTACAATGTAAACTTTTTTGCCCAAATTTTTGAGGCAAAAATAAGGATGCATATTATACATGGGTAGTACTAATTCCATAACTATATAAATGTTTTTAATTCTTTTATTTATGCTTACGAGTTAAAAGTGTAACTCCAGAAATCAATGATATCTATATGCAAAATAATACCCTGGAATACAATAATCGGTTTTGTTGAACTTACAAGGAACTTGCAACGATGAAGAGTTCTTGGCCTTCTATGAGGTTAAATATTGTACATGTGTTACCAGTACATACAATTTCTTGTACCTTGTATCGGTTCTTGTGTTTTGTAGCTATTTGTTACATAAAATTTCTTGTACCATAGGTTGAAAAATAAATGCTAAAATTCCTTTATGATACAAAAAACAGGTGCCTAAATGTAAACAAATATAAATTTGAATTAAAAAATTAAAACAAAAAATGTTTACCCTGAAAGTCCGGGCTAAAAACGTGGGTGCCAATTATACACAGAGAGCATTATACACAGCAAAATACAGTTTATACCTCTAGACAGACAGGCAGATGGGAGTTTATCCCATGAATGCAAGTACACGATCTAGGAATGTTATTAATGCAATTCAATATATTAACTTATTAGAAGCTGCATCTACATTAAATCACATATACACTCACTTATATTTGTGTTATGTATACATACATGTGTGGGTATATATATATTACACAATAGTGGCAAAGTTTTTCAGAGTTCATTACTCACTTATGATTGAAAGCGAACCAAACTCTCATTAATCTAGGAATAGAAGCGAGCTCACCTGGCCTGNTTGGCAGCTCAGCGGCTGCTCAGCTCGGGCTGGACTCGAACCGCTGTTGCTCAGAGCTCAAACTCTTGAGCGAGCTCTTAACCAACTGAGCCAATCGGCCGGCCCAGCCTTTCTTGTTTTTTTAATGTAAGTTTTTTACTATAAATTTCTCTCTAAACACTGATTTAGCTATATCACACAATTTTTGCGTGTGACATAGCTAATGCAATAGATTAAGGTCCTTCCTTTCCTTTCTTTCTTTTGCTATACATTAAGCTCCAAGTTTTTTTCTAATTTCTTTTAAGGGGTCCTCCTTTCACCCATGAGTTATTCATAAAAATGTTTGTTTTTCAGATATTATGTTTCATTTCCTAATGTATGAGGGGTTTCTAGTTAACCTCTTGTAACTGGTTTCTCATTTTTCCATCTGCTCTGAGCTGCCATTTTCTACCCACAACCCACACCTAGAACTAACCACCTTTTGCCTTCCTGGCACTTCTCAATTGTTGGTTAATTTCTCATATCCATAAACCTCCTTCTCACTTTTTTGGCACATCCAAGGTTGGTCTGGGGGAACAAGCCAGCATCCAGTGTTAATTTGCCTATCCTATTATGTCCCACTCCCCCCAAAACTAAGGTTTTCTAAACTCCAGAACCCTCATTCAACTGAAATACGACACTACATTTTTCATTGTCAGGAGGACTTACCACTAGCCATATGTTGTTGAAGTTTTAATTTTATTATATCTTATTTTACCTTGGTTTTGTGTTGCTTTTCTCCTTGTTCATGTCTCGATTTACTGCTGTTGAATCAATGGGTATATATGTCGCCATATTTTTTTCCCAAATAAAACTACGAAGTAATGGGCTGTGAAAAAAGTTTTTTAAATACAGAAGATGATTTCACAGTTATGACTATAGGATTTCAAAACTGCATATACAGGATATGTAGTTCCCAACTTCTCATTAGGCTGCATTTAATATCCCCATTACCTTCAGGTGTTTCTTATAATTTCCAGACCTTTCACTATGCTAGTTATCCTTCTCAGGACAGCCTCTATGTTGCCTACTGCCTTCCTCTCTAAGGCAGTTTTTTCCTTCTTACATTGGTGAGTTTCTGTAAATACAATTCTAACTTACCTTAAATTCCATACCAAAGATAGTGATGTTTTGAGATCATCTCTTCAGGGAAAACCATCAGAAAGAACTTAGGGAAGTCAACAGCACTGGCAGCCTGAGCTGAACTCATTTCACCGTTCACTAAGTGCTAAAAGGCCACATCTGTACACCGGCAGATAAAGCAGAACTCGACAAAAGGGAGTGGGTTTTGAGATATAAAAATGAGAGGGTCTCTTTCTGATTATTGAGGGAAATCGAACAAGATACTGAAATTCTCTAAATAAATATGAGTGTACTCTAAAGAATTTAAGCCAAGAGGCTAGCTTAGAATCAATGTAAGATAAAAAAAATAAATAAAAATTCAACTGGCAAGTGAACAAGCTTCAGACAAATCAAATAAGACAGACTGAACTAGGCCAGGGGCAAGAGTAGTTCTTATTAGAACAGAAACGATAGGAATCGCTACATCAGATGTGAGGCAGACAACTACAATAGCAGTCCACCTAGGGATGAGACTCAGCGTGCAGAAAGTTCCAATCAGGACCCAGAGTATCAAGAATGGCCATAAGAGGATCCTTTGGGCCGGCCGAGTGGCGCGATGGTTAAGAGCCGGCTTGGGACGCCAAAGGGCCCCAGTTCGGATCCCACATGAGGGCCAGTGACACTGCCCTCTACAGCTAAGATGCTGAACAACAGCTCAACCTGGAGTTGGGCTGCCGTGAATTGCCAGTGATGGCGTAGGCTGCAGCCCCTGTGGCAGTGGGTTGCCATAAGTTACCGTGTGTAGCCAGCAGCCAGCGTGAGCGGCCAGCAGCCGCAGTGAGCGGCCGTCCAGAAGCCGGCGACTGATCTGCCTCGCCCGGGAAGAGCA